TGAATCTCCTATACTTGTAAATATACAGGTTAGATTTTTATTGTTTATGGATTTGAAACTGATTAAGAGAACCTAAGGACTCAAGATTCTCCTAGTAATGACAAAAAAATCATTTTCAAATAGTGTCTTTTTTCAAAAAAATCTTACCAAGATATACTACACTTCAACCTTTCAAAGCTATGTTTCAGTAATGGCCAATTTGTTCAAGTTCACGGTACAGGTTTCTTTCCCTTATTTCTCTCCAGGATATTAGGCTCTTATCACCAAAGCCAACAATACTCTTTTTTCATAGGAATTTAGCCTACTTAGTTTCCCCATTCAATAAAGTTGTAAGATTAAAGTCTTGTACAATTCTGCACAAAGGTGGATGAAGGGGATCAAGAGTTCCCTTGCAATATCCAGGAATTTGGAATCCATGTGGTGTGGTGCCTAAGGCATTTGACTGCTAACCAGAAGGTTGGCAGTTCAAACCCACCAGCCACTCTGTGGAAGGAAGACTGGGCAATCTACCTCTTTAAAGATTTACGAGCTCAAAAACCCAAAGGGGGTCACTATGAGTCAGAATCAACTCGATGGCAGTGAGTTTGGTTTTATTTCTTGGAATCCATGGAGGACAGTGATCTCCCCAGCAAAGCACATACTGGATCTACCAGTGCTTTTAACAAATGCTAATAGTATATATCCTCGGAAGGAAGATGGGGCAATCTACTTCTGTAGTGCTACTGCCTCGGAAACCCAAGGAGGGGTTGCTATGAGTCGGGTCCAACTTGACAGCACATAATAACAACAACAACAATAGTATATAAGTATTATTCCATGAAAGAGCTCTGGTGGTGCAGTGCCTATGACATTTGACTGCTAACCAGAAGGTTGGCAGTTCAAACACCACAGCCTCGCCACAGAAGGAAGATGGGACAATCCATTTCTGTAAATATTAACTGCCTTGGAAACCCAATAGGGGTCACTATGCATCAGAATCAACTTGATGACAGTGGGTATGGTATTATTCCACAAGAGACAGATCTCTTGAAGCCTAAATTATATATCCCTGTAAGAAGGAACTCTGGTGGTGTAGTAGATGAGGCACGGTTCAAACCCACCAGGTGCTCACTGGAAGGAAGACTGGGCGATCTACTTCTATAAAGATTTACAGCCTCAGAAACCCAAAGGGGGTTGCTATGAGTCAGAAACATCTGGATGGCAGTTTGGTTTTGGTTTTGGTGATAGAGAGTAACCATGTGGTCAACAGGTGTAATGAACTGAATTTAGATTTCCATCAATAATTTGTTTCTATTTACCCTGATGGTAAACTCTATGTGTCTGAAATGAAATAAAAATTCAAGTGCTTTGGATGATATTATATAATCCAAAATGAAACCCACTGACATTGAGTTGATTCCAACTCACAGTGACCCTATAAGATAAAGTAAAATTGTCAGATAGGGTTTCCAAGGCTATAAATCTTTATGGAAACAGACTGCCACATCTTTCTCCCATGGAGAGGCTGGTGGGTTCAAACTGTCAGCCTGTCAGTTAGTGGCCAAGCATTAAACCACTGCACTACCAGGGCTCATATAATACACAATGCAGTTGTTGTTAGGTACCATCAAGTCATCTCCTACTGATAGTGACACTATGTACAATAGAAGCAAACACTGCCTGGTCCTGTGCCAGTCTCACAATCCTTGCTATACCTGAGCCCATTGCAGCCACTGTGTCAATCCATCTTGTTGAGGGCCTTTACCTTCCTGCCTGACCCTCCACCTTACCAAGCATGTTATCCTTCTCCAGGGAGTGGTCCCTTCTCACAACATGATTATTTTGGTTACCTCATGGTGCTCTAACAGAAAAATACCACAAATGGGATGACCCTACAAACAGCAGTTTCTTCTCTTACAGTTTTGGAGGCTAGAAACCTGAGTTCAAAGTGCCAGGCTCTAGGGGCTGGGTGAAAGACCTTCAACCTTGGGCTTCAGCTTAGTCTCTTGTTCCTGACCCACTGAAAATAGAGGCATCTCTTCACTCAGGCAGCGGCTGGCTGCTGAGGCTGACAAACCCAAGGTCAACAAGTAAAAAGGCACAGTCTCAATATTATCAAACCACACAGCAGGCCATTGATTCAAGTCCTTAAAAAGTCCCAAGATTGGCAAAGCATGGCAGGCTGCTGAATGAAGACTCAGCTACATGCAGGGTCCAAGCATGCCAAGAAGCTGTAGACTATTCCCCAAACTCCTCCTAATATAAGGAAAGCAGACCACATCCCTAAAGCAGCTACTCAGCTGCTCATGACAGATTCCACCATGGAGTTGATTGCCAATCTCATAATGGCATAATAACTACCACCAACTACCACTACTACCAGCTGCCCAGCCACGCAAAACCAGGCCCAGCCAAGTTAACATATAACCTTAACTACCACAATGACCAAAGTGTTTTGGTTTACCACAATGGCCAAAGTAGGTAAGAGGAAGTCTGGCCATTCTCGTTTCCAAGGAGCATTCTGGCTGCACTTCTTCCAGGACAGATTCGTTAGTTCTTCTGGCAGTCCATGGAACTTTCAGTATTCTTTACCAACACCACAACTCAAAAGCACCAACTCTTCTTTCATCTTCCTTATTCATTGTCCAGCTTTCAGATGCATAAGAGGCAACTGAAAATACCATGGCTTAAGTTAGGTGCACCCTAGCCTTCAAGGAGACATCTTTGCTTTTCAGCACATTAAAGAGGTCGTTTGCAGACAATATGCCCAATACAATATGTCCTCCAGTGTCTTGACTGCTGCTTCCATTGGTTGTGGAACCAAGTAATATGAAATATTTGACAATGTCAACCTTTTCTCCATTTATCATGATGCTGCTTATAGGTCCAGTTGTGAGGATTTTCATTTTCTTTATGTTGAGGTGTAATCCATACTGCAGATTGTAATATTAATCTTCATCAGTAAGTGCTTCAAGTCATCCTCACTTTCAGCAAGCAAAGTTGTGTCATCTGCATAATGCATCCAATCTTGATGTCACATTCTTCTTCATACAGTCCAGCTTCTCAGATTATTTGCTCAGCATAGAAATTGAATAAATATGATGAAAGGATACAACCCTGACACACTCTTCCTGATTTAAAATCATGCAGTATCCCCTTGTTCTGTTAAAATGACAGCCTCCTGGTCTATGTACAGATTCCTCATGAGCACAATTAAGTGTTCTGGAATTTCCATTCTTCTCAATGTTATCCATAATTTGTTATGATCTACACAATTGAATGCTTTTGCATAGTCAATAAAACACAAGTAAACCTCTTTCTGGTATTCTTTGCTTTGAGCCAAGATCCATCTGACATCAGCAATGATAACCCTCGTTCCATGTCCTCTTCTGAATCCAGCTTGCAGTTCTGGAAGTTCTCTGTCAATATACTACTGCAACCATTTTTTGAATTATCTTCAGTAAGATTTTACTTGTGTGTCATATTAATAATATTGTTTGATAATTTCCACATTCTGTGGGATCACTTTTCTTTGGAATGGGTACAAATATGGATCAGTTCTTTCAGCCTGAGAAACACCAAGCGTGTTCTTCCCTTTTAGTTTTCTAACTCCAGGTCTTTGCACATTTCATTATAATAATTGACTTTTTCTTCTCAACCTGCTCTTTGAAATCCTCTGTTCAGCTCTTTTATCTCAACTACATCTGTGGAAAAAAAAGAAGCTCAGTATCTTCAGCCAAGACAAGGCCAGGAGCTGATTGTGGAACAGACCATCAATTGCTTATATGCAAGTTCAAAGTGAAGCTGAAGACAATGAAAACAAGCCCACAAGAGCCAAAATATGACCTTGATTATATCCCTCCTGAATTTAGAGACCATCTAAAGAACAGATTTGATGTATCAAACACCAATGACTGAAAACCAGAGGAATTGTTAGATGATATCAAGAAGATCATCCATGAAGAAAGCAAAAGGTCATTAAAAGAACACGAAAGGAAGGCAAGACAAAATTGGATGTCAGAAGAGACTCTGAAACTTGCCCTTGAATGGAAAGTAGCTAAAGTAAAATAATACCCAATGAGTACACAGAAATCCATCTCTTTCCTACTTAATTCTTACCCAGATTAAAGACTAAATATTTTGCACTTATATTTTGTACTTTTCTTACCTCCTAGGAGAATTAGTTTATTTTGGGGAGGAATATGCTGGCATAGTGGTGCAATGTTAAGAGCTTGGCTGAAAACCAAAAGGTTGGCAGTTTGAATCCACCAGTGGCTCTACAGAAGCAAAGACCTGGTTATCTGCTCCCATAAAGATCGCAGCCTTGGAAATCCTATAGGGCAGTTCTACTTTCTATATAGGGTTGTCATGAGTTGTAATTGACTCAATGGCACATAACTATACTATGCTGGCCTAGGTTACTAGATCCTAGATCCTCAGACTAGAACCATATCTTTTAAACTTTTGTTTATTATTATTACTTTTTTTTTGTGATTTGGGTGAAATTTTATAACGCAGATTCATTTTACATTCAACAGTTCACACAAATTTTGTTTTATGACACTGGCTATATTTCCTGCAGTGTAACATCTTCTTCCCTGTGGTTACCCTTTCCGTCTGTCCTTCTTGCCTATGCTTACCCTTCTCCCTGTGCAAATGCTGCCCTTCTGATCTCCCATGGTAGACGGTTCTAAGGAGTGCATCTCTCTGGTATAGGTGTTCAGCGCATAGGCCTGTGTATGGTTTGGATGAGAGTTAAGCCATGAGAGTGAGTTCAGTTCCAGGCCCAAAGGGTGACTAGGGACCATAGTCTCAGGGGTTTCAGTCAGACCAGTAATCCTGGTCTTTTTTATGATTGAGAGTTTTGTTCCACATTTTTCTCCCACTCTATCCAGGATCTCCAATTTTGATCCCTTTCTGAGTAGTTGGCATTGGTAGGTGAACACCATCTATTTCTTCTGGTCTCAGGGTCATAAAAGTTGAGGTTCTTATAGTCCATTAGTCCTTTGGGCTGTTTCAATGCATCTTTGATTTTTTTTCACTCTTTGCTCCAGATGAGGAGAGACCAAGAGTTGTATCTAAGATAGCTGCTCACAAGCTTTTAAAACCTCAGTCACTACTCACTGAAGAAAAATGTAGAACAATATTTTTGTACACCATGTTGTAGCAATTGTAGCCCATGACTATGGTCCCCCGCCTGCAGACCCAGTGACACACCAAGGTGCTTAGTTGTGGCTTAGAAGTTATCCTAACTTTTCCTCTTGTTAGTTTCAACTGTATATGGACATTTTTATAGCACACACAAATACTTATGTAGGAATATCATCTGCCAATAGAATTGTTTATCTTTGTATTTTAATAACCTGTTACTCTGACTCAAGGCTAGTGGCATTATAAGTTGGTAAACAGATTAGAGAAACAATTTGGCAGTAGCTACCAAAAGCCAAATTTTTTTCAGTAAACGTTAAAAGGTAAAAGTGAAAGCAACATAAGTGTTCTAAAATAAATAGTTTATGTAAATTTTAAAACAAAATACCACTGTTATCATTAAAAATAATGGTTATAAAGATTGTGGAAGAAACAGAAATATGCTCAGGATATAATACCAAATGAAAATAAATCAAGATAAAAATGACGTATGATATAATATGGTCACAACAGTATAAAAATATTCAAATAAAAAAACTGAAAGGAAGTAGAATTAAATTTTGTGATAAAATGATAGGATGATCTGTATTAAAATGGTGTATCATTTATGCTTCTGAAGTTTTCATTAAATGGTTATATTACTTGTTTTAATAATGTGTAGTATCATACTAATCCATGAGAGGAATTTAATAAACTTACCATGTATATAATACTTCTTAGCAGATGAAGGGATTCTATTCCATTTAATTTCATTGTCTTCATTTAGATTTTTCCACTCAATAATAAAATACATTAGATTGTAGTCACTGGGTGAAAGCCTCCAGGAAAGAATCACACAACTACTGTTTAAAGGATAAGCACTGAGTGACTGCACAATATTTACTGAGGAGAAGAAAAGGAAATTCATTTTAAATTCAAAATTAATGAAAATGTCCTATTAGCTATTACCCTCTGGGAGCTCTGGTGGCATAGTGCCTAAGGCATTTGACTGCTAACCAGAAGGCTGGAGGTTCAAACCCACCAGCCATTCCTCAGAAGGAAGGTTGGGCAATCTACTTCCGTAGTGATACTGCCTCAGAAACCCAAGGTGGGGTCGCTATGAGTTGGAATCAACTTGACGGCAGTGACTTTGTTTTGGTCTATTACCCTTTAGGAATCTACAACC